TATATATATATATATATATATATATGTTCTTACTTGTTTAATTCAATCGGAATTTACTAGTCGTAAACTGGATAGATCATGGAGTCTTGGTAATGACATAGACAGCATATAGGATCCCAGGAAGGTAGCCAAACAACGTTAGGATCAGACAAATCCAGAACTCCGCCTGCAACCCAATCATGTAAGTATATATGTATACATACACAAACGTATGATATTATATATAAATTAGTTGGTTATCTTTTTAAACAACGTGAAAAATCAAGATGTTTTGGTGTTCAAAACACCTATCACACTTATTTATTAAGTGAACCTTAATAGAAGATTTACTTACGTATGAGTGTGATGGAATTTTAAATATCAAGATATTTTAATTTTTATATTTTTAATATTTTTATATAGTTACTAAAACTGAAGAAGAGTTCAAAGTAGGGACTACAGTACTGATGAAGATGATCCAGTACTCACCTTGCAGCCATACTTGAGGAAGACGCCAAGAGGGGGCAAGAGGATGGCTACCAAGATGTCCACACATGTAGCTGTGCCCTCGTCTGCCATCTCCTTCTTCTCCTTCTTCTCCTTCTTCGGATGATTAAGTAGTCAGGTAGCACGGATACAGATAGGTATTAGGAACAGAGAGATCTAGAACTCAAACTTGCAGGCTGTAACTGCAACGTTGAGGGAGACGGTAGAATAGGGTGTATATATATAGAGCTGGGGCAATGGATATGCCTTCTCCGCGACGCTGAGACGTGTCACAGGCTGATTTGATAGGCGTTTCCTTATCCGCGTAGCCTTCTCGGGAGTGTTGCGGGCCTTGCGGTGTACCTTCCGAAGGTATGAGGACGTGTATCATATCATGAGCGCGTTGCACAGCTCACTCTTGTTAAATTTCATCTATACGTTAGTTGTCACTTTCTTTTTTTTTTAACATAAGGAAATTTAAGGGATGAGATTTTTTTTTTTTCGTCTTTGATACTATTTGAATTCTCAATCAATTTCACCTTAATACTTAGGCTTTATGAATGAATTATTGGATTCAAAAACTCATTCAATATAATAGTTGTAACTTAATTAATAAAAAATTTTATTTTTTTACTTTGTCAATTAAAATTTAATTTTAATATTTATTTATAAATTTTTTAAATTTTAATATAAATAGTTTATTTTTAATTAAATTAAAAAAAAAAACTATTTCAAAGTACTTGTAAGTTGTCTTACACCCTGACCATTTGCCCTGGCCGGCCTGGCGTGGTCTGACCTGGCCCCGGCCCCATCTGCGTACTTCTTTTGTCTTTTGTCCCTTTTTTTTTTCTTTCTTTCTTTTTTTTATAATTAAGGTATAATTTCTTTGAATAAAGGGTGCAACTCGAATCTTAAGTTTTTATTAAAATAAGATAATTTTTTTTTATGAAACATAAGTAGTTATTTGAATTACAATGATTTTTTTTAATTAAAATATATTTTGAATTAATTTACTTTTGAATATTAAAATTAATATCTTTTTCAATAATTGTAAAACTGTAAAAGTGTGATCTACATATTAACTTGTTTGTATCAAGATTAACTCCAATACTTGAACATTAAATTAAAGCTAAGTTACAAGATAGACGAGGCTTAATTAAGAATGAACCGTTGATCATATATATCCGTTTGGAGTTAACGTCCCCCCATGTGCGGACGTGGGTCCGTCCCATTTGGATTAATTCTTTCCCCCACTTTCCTCAACGTGTCCTTTCTTTCTTTTCCTCTACTTTTGATATTTTAAATTCTCTCAAATATTTTTTTATATATCTGGAGCTGGACAAAGAAAGTGATGCAGTTGACAACCTAGCTAGAGGATCTGATTCTAATAAAGTAGGTATTTTATTGGTTTGATAAGAATTGGATGCAAGAGTGTTGAATTTGAATACGAATAATTTTAATCACATGATTATTTGTAAAATATAGGAATGAGTACTTATTTGTTTTATTTTAAAAAAAAATTTTAAAAAATTTTAAAATTATATTATTATAATGAAGTATTATATATAATAAATGATAAAAAAATATTTTAAAAAATAATATTTATTTGTCTTATTTCAATT